TGTGTGTGTGTGTGTGAGAAAGCTCTTGATAAAAATGGCTCATGTGAGTATTTAATTAAAAACAAAAGATGTAACACTGAACACTCTGAACTGTTTAGGGCTGAAAGGACATAAGTGTACTTGAAAGATAATTGTTCATTGATTATATTTTCATCCACTTGTTCACAAAGTTTATCATTTAAGATTACATTTTAAAAACAAAATCAGTACAAAACATAGACGTTTTGTTTCGTCACTCTTATAAAAGCAGGAAATGTCACTTATGCCCCTCAGGTTCTCACCACTCCACCACGAGTCAACGTTATTACTAATTTCTTCTGCATCTTGATCTGTCCATTTCTGCTGTCTGTGTGTCTGTCTGTCTTCCACAAGGACATGAGTCTCATCCCTTCGCCAGTAACCCTCTGCCCTGCCAGAGCTTCTACATCCGCAGGGCAGGAGAGAAAGGGTGACCCCATGCACTTAGATTTGACCTTCTGCTGTCTGGTAGCAGCTTTCTGTTTTTCCTTCTCTGCAGGATCAATATATGGATTGATTTTGACCTATTTGGCAACCGATTTCCTTCGTTTGAGATTATAATAAAAATTGCGATGAAGTCGACAAATGAAGCGAGAAAAACTAGAAGAGAGGGAGACGCAGAAACACGGAGAGAATAAAAGTGAATGACTCACAAGGTCCCAGTCGACGTTTCTGAAGAATGGATGGCCCATGATGTCTGCAAAGCCTGTCTGAGGGTGGCAGCCCAGACGCTCCTTGGGATCCTGTGGGAGTGAGGGGAGAAACGAAGGTGAGAGACAGTAGGAGATGACGGTGGATGAGACGAGAGAAAAAGTCAGAGGACAGGAAAGAAAGGTGGAGAAGGCGAGAAAAGATAGAAAGGTGTAAAAGAGGAGTAGATTTTGGTGAAGGGAGGGGGTGTATTATGAATAGGTGAAAGGAGAGCCACATTGAGAGGACAGTGAGAGATGGCAGTTGACTCTGACTAAGGCCATGATAATGTCATTCTCAGGGGCCAGCAGAGCTCACACTGTTTAAGATGGATCGAAGCCCTTCTGACCCCTTCTTACCTTGTTGAGGAATCCCTTGAGGACGCTGGCGGCTTTGACTGACAGCGAGCGTGGGATCCTGATCTGCTTTTCCAATATTACTGCGAGGAGGTGAGAGGAAAAGGGGAAGGTGAGACAGACGGTCCCTTAAGGCTAAAATGACAGAGGATGGGACTGACACTGCTGCACAAATCCTATTAGGTAAACTCACCTTGAACATACATACAAAAGCCTTTCAATTTAAGTGTCAATAGCTTCTGATAAAAAATAAAACTGTTTTTGAAATATGACTGTCTGTCAAGTGGTAACATTTTTATTCCCAACTATCCAACACTCCCCTGGCAGTTATAAGAAAACATTGGCACATTTTGAAACAGTATTTGCAAAGAAATAACGTCGACAAAACCACACATGCATTCACACATTTCCCTGTAACAGATGGCATATGCCTGGTAGTGGGGACGTCGCCATCAGAAAGGTGTCAATACAAAGGTGTGACATGCTTCCACCGAGCTGTTTTTTCCTCTCTGGTTATAAACCTCAGCTGTGTGTGTGTGTGTGTGTGTTACCTTGGAAAGTGCTGCCACTCTCTGCGCCAGTTCAGCTTCCACCTCTGGCAATGTCTCAGCCTTCCTCATGGTCTGAGCCAGCCTCTGCTCTGCCATCTCCAGCATCTCCTGCAGCTGGCGCACCTTCTCCTCGCTCTGACACAAACACACACACGTGCAAAGAAAGCCAAGGGACAGTGTGATCACAAGAGTGTAGTGCAGGACACAACACACGGACATGAGTGGAGGATGTTCCTGGTATTCCCCATTTGGAGCTGAACTCAGATTGACCCTGAACTACACATGAACCTTTGAGTAGGATGCTCACTCACTTACTCACTCACTCACTCACTATACTATTCTTCAATACCTTACCTTACATTGTCACACTTTAGAAAAACTCAGTCAATCTTCTGATTTTATTACCATCTCAGCTTTATTGTTGGTGTCATTGCTGGGGCATGCCATATTAAAATGTTGCAAGACATACAGAAACAGGATATTAGACATATGTCACCTCAAGACAAGTGTGCCATTTTTGGTGTCACTTAACAACACATTATGACTGTAACACATCCAACGAAGCCTAAGCATAGCACAATAATGACACAGCACATTAATTAATATTGATTTAGTCCTTATGTCAGCCTTCATTAACTGATGTTGTTCTTTGTTTTCAGACACTTAACTCCCAATCAGGTATCTGTGGAAACAGCTTAGTTTAATGTAACAATGATATTTACTATTTTAAATAATTGTAAAATGTTATATTATGCTCACTGTGATCTTGTACAGCTAGTGTTGTTGTGTGTATATGTTTGTTACCTGTCGGTGCAGTGAGTCCTTGGTGGCCAGTTCATTCTCCAGTTTGTCATTAAGGTCGTGGATGTGTGTGGTCTCCCGCTGAGCAGCCAGGTAGCGTTTCTCTAACGTTGTTATCCTCTCCTCCATATCCTCTCTCTGTGGGTGCACAGACACAGCAACAATACAAGGGAGATCATGAGAGAGAAGCCATTTTATGATTGAATGCACATAATCTATACATAAACCTTCATAGTACATTGTATGAGTGCAGTTTATATACAAAAAAAGTGTGTACTAATGTAATGATAGGAAATAATAAAATATAAAAATATATAATGTCATTCAATGTCCAGCAAGAACACACAAAAAGAAAATGCAGCAGGCCTTTTTAGTATTTTTATTTAAAAAATAATCTAGTATGTTGTTCACAACAATAACAACACAATACTGTACAGGTTAGTTAGTCTTAGCCATCTGCTATCATGTAAAGTTTATATATAGGAGTGACTCTCAATGGCATGGGTCAAAGGTGTATTAAAATAATGATATAGTAAGGTATTAATCTAGAGCTATGCTTTTTTGAACAAAACAGTCGAATGTTTCATTTTATTAACTTTTTACCTAAAAGTGTTTGCAGCCCACTGTTCTGAGTGCTTGCTTTCAGAACAAAAGCACATTTCCTTTACTCTCACCTCTCTCTGTTCCCTCTGTTGTTTGATTGACAGCTCCTCACTACGGCTCAGTTCTCTTCGCGCATTCGTGAGCTCGGCCTCGAGCTCGGCCAAACGGGCGTTGAGAGTGGCAGAGTGTTCGCGGCTCTGGGCCAGCTCCTTATTGGTCCGATCAAGCAGCTCCTGAAGCTCAGACACCCGACTGCCATCGTCATGAGCGTCTATTGAGCCATTGGGCAGTCTCTGTAAGGTGGACACACAGAATTATTGGATATATGTGCACGTTCTTGCATAAAATGTATTCTAGGACTGAGACACGTATACAAATATTCATGCTATGCGTCAAGGTTTTTGACAGTTGTAGAACTGATAAAGTTGGATGACCTAGATTAAAAAGTGTTGAGCGTTATGCATAGGAGGGCGGGTTGTGTGAGGTTAGGCTGCCATGTTGTTGTTTTGATGTTGTTTCTCTTCCCTTCTCAGCTCAAAGTGCAGTTAATTCCAGGGCCTTAATTAAACAAACCTTCGGGGACACATATTCAGACAGGCAACACAGTGGGCAGCCAAAGTTAGTAGGACCCCCTCCGCTCCCTCATGTTCCAATTTTGCCTGCTCATGAATACCTTACAGAAACATAAACATACCATGAAACACTGGGGGAAATAGGGCTAAATGGTCTGAAGCAGCTTAATAAAACACACCTGGTGATTTGTGCAATTGTACATAATTCCAGTTTAGCCACATAAACTCAATATTAGATTTACTCCCAGGGACTTTGGAAAGAGCAGCTGTAGTACAGCCCCATCTGACTGTCAATGTGTGGAAGTCGGGTATGACATGGCCCTGAGATAGTCTTGGTTGGGGTTCCTTCTAAAAAGGACATGTGGACATGATCACTTAATGGTGTTTTGAATTGGTTTCAATTGGTTGCAGCAAATGGGGGGTAGTGAGCGTCAGCAGGACAGCGGCTGTCATGGATAATGCCCTGGCAGTGTGTGTTTGCAGAGTTCACACTCTGAGACATCTAACTACACTCTTTCTCCTAATGCTAGTATACTCCAACAATTCTCTCTTCATCCTTTCTCCCTCACTCTCTGTCTCATCCTCTCATCCTTTCTTAATGGTAAGTTATTGATTTTTCAAGTTAAATTATTGCTTTAAATAAAACTACTGTTGACACTTATTTTTGCTCCCTGCGTCCTTCAGCCAAAGAAATAGGAGCCAAAGTAAGTAAATCTCATATTGCTCTTCTCTGGCTGCCCGGCCCGTACAGAGGAAGGCGATTTCCATTCAGATACAAACAGGCTCTGCTGTTTAATTGCAGGGAGGTTTGTTACTCCCTGTGGATGGACCCAGACACAGTTACATAATGCGTGCTCGTTTCAGGGCTTAAACCATGGAAGACAGGGCTCGAATAGAGAGCAAGAGATTTAATGTTATCAGAACTATCAGAAAGGTAAAGGAAGATTAATTTAGCTCCATATCATTTGTATGTGTGTACGTGAGTAGGTGTCTTAATGTGTGGAAGAAAGACAGAAATACTTATGAAGACAGCGATCGACAGCCAGACAGACAAATACCATAGGCAGACATAAGATAAAGCACAGAGCAGAAAAACAATCACACAGCCAGGAAGACCTTCCATGTAGGTTTGGATCCATCTGTTCGCTCCACTGAGTCACCGTCCTTCCTTTGTCTCACCATGTTCAACTGAAATGTAGATTAAAAAAAAAAAATGAACAATGAACAAACTCAAACATTTACTATCTTTTCTTTTCCCTCAGTGAATCCAAGAACAAAACTCTGCCTCCCAAAGGGAACCCTTGGCTCAAGCTGCCAACATTCATCAGACAGCATGCTCTACCATATTTTACATAACTACAATATGAATTATGCTCAGAATAGAGGAGGAAGGGTCTGCTCCTGTGTGATCAGTGCAACTTAATAATACTTTGACTTAAATTCTTATATAACTCACTGTGATTCTGCTTTTACTGAGCCTGCTATGAATATTTAGCATAATTTTATCTTGATAATGATTTCTTTAATGGCATTCTGTACAGTGTGTATGTGTGTTTGTGTGTGTGTGTGTGTGTGTGTGTGTGTGTGTGTATGAACAGAGGGCTGAGAAGACAGAGCGTCTCACCCAGCGTGACACTTGAAGCATATATCAGATCAGACTGGAGGCTTCAACAGATGTCTGCTAGGGACCGAACAGATGTTTCACTTACCAAAAACCACATAAACACACATACACACCTACACACCTACACAGACACACACACACACACACAGTCATGTTCACACAGCTCACCTCTTGCGTGGTAGTTGCTAGCTGTCCCTCCAGGGTGGCCACCCTCTCCAGAGCCACCCGAAGCCTCTCACGTACCTGCAAAACGCCAAGAAAACACACATCAAGAGAAAGTCCAGAAACACAAGGACACACTTATATACTGAAGAAGAGACACAGAATATTAATCTGTAAATAAATAGATCTGTTTTATCTCACAATTCAAGTTTGATTTACTTTGCTAGTATAACATATAATATTTTGTACTAGAAATTCTCATATAGTGGCTGTAGACCTCTATTTACCTCATCTGAACGAAGAATCTTTTTACATATTATACATATTTGTTACATATTATTATATTATTAGGAATTTCTCCCTGTTTTTTCATCTGCTTGAATTTCCGATCGTAATTTGCTGTTGCTATTGTTTGCTGTTAACAATCTCTTCCCTTCGATGGAGAGCTTAACAATAAAAAAAAACAACCAGCAAAACCGAATTGATCAGGATTAATTAGTAAGGGAGGACAGCATTTCAAAAGACAAACCAGGAGCAACAAAGTGGTGTGTGTCCTCTGCATGTATTTGTTAGAACGGATCACATCCCTTAAATATGTGTGTTTGGTGTGTGTGTGTTTGTGTTTCCACCTTTTCATCCAGAGCCTTGTGGTGTTCAAACAGCGACTTCAGGGCTTTGAGGACCTCCACCTCGCTGGAGACTCCAGATGGTGGGGGTGCCTGTCTCTTCACCACTGTCATCCTCAGACTGCGTTCGTGACGAGACACCAGACACTCCAGGTGCTCCAACAGCAGCTACAGCACGTACACACACATACACACATATGAATGCATGCATGACCAAAGAGAATACTAATTTCAAGCTTAGAAGCATTGTTTGTTTTCATCAGCATCACCACACACTTGCACTTACATATGCACACACAGACACACACACACACACACATACCCTGGTGTTGTTCCTTTCAGCTTTCAGCTCAGATATTTCCTCCTCTTTCTCCAGCAGCTGCTCCCGGCATATGTTCAGCTCCTTCGTCAGGGTGGCAAACTCCTACATACACACACGCACACGCACAAATACAGATGTTACTACTGTTTCACTGATCAACATAATGGGCTCTACTTTAGTGAAACTGGGCACATATGCAGCTGCAATCTCAGGATGCAAAGTGCAAAAACACGTGGGCGTGGCTAGAATTTTGGTGGCACAAGCACACTCCTGGCGCCGAGCAGCCCAGGATGAGCACATTTTACCTGTAGGAGGACTACTTTATCAGGAAGTGAAGTTAGAGTAGACTTAAATATTGGGCAGTTCAGGCTGGCTTTTCCTAAAAGAAAACTTATATTCTGAGGGATGCTGCATGTGAAATTCTTTCTGTGTGCCTGCGATAAGAGGTGGTCGGAACGGGTGGAAAAGACCAAAATGGCACTGTGCTATGATATCTGATCTGCATAAACACAACCTCAGCCACTTTGCCAACCTCAGTGCCCACCTCTGGGATAGCCAGTGCAAAAAGAAGTGGACTTGTGTCTAGTTGGACAAAACAGTCAAAATCTAAAATTAGAATAAAAAAGATCAGGATTTTGACTTTTACTGGTGCTGAGACACATTCACAGTGTATTAACTGTGATTAATTGAAAACAGTCTAGCTGAAATAGGACAGAAATTTGCCAAAGCCATTATGCTAATGTAATTGTAGAAAACAAAATTGGTTTACATCAACTGTCTGTCTCTATTTTCCCATTAGCAATAAATGGGATTTCCTTCATACAAAAAAACATATCTTTTTTATGGTAGGATTCAAAGACAGCAGAAAACATTCTGAACTTCCTCCGATCATGTTATGACTAATTCCATTATATAGTCCAAAAAGCAAATACTATAAAGTGAAAACAGTGTTGTCTTAATCTCTGACTATCAAACATCCTTAAAATTCCCAGTGATGATACAACACTTTTCAGTATCAACCTCAGATTATTGATTATTCTAAATGAATTATTTGCTGTGTGAGAAAAGTGTATTTCACTTGAGAGCCATTTGATTTATTAATGTACGTTCTTCACACTCCTCAATGCTGACAAATGGCTATGCACTTCACTGAAGCTTTTAAGCACTTGCGGCACTCCAGACGTCCTTTATAGCCACATTTGAGAAATTCGACCAATGAGCGACTTGAGCGAAGTTGGACCACAATGGTTTCTGGTTGGTTGGGACCCACTCAGTCTGTCAGAAATGGCATGTTTGAAGCAATTTTCAGTCCAGCATTCAGTCATTTTGTACAAATGAGTAGCACAGCATAGAGTGCAGAGGCAATTCTGAGATTCTGAGATGACCTCTTTGTTAATATCATATCGTAACCATGTAGCTTTGATGTTGCAACAAGATAACATCAAGTAGCTATACTGAGTAGGATGAATACATAAAATAAGCTTTGAGGCGTTATGATGGACATACTTCCTAACATTTAAAGGTTTAGTTTCACACCACAAATTGAAACATCAATTAAAGAATAGTTTAACATTCGGAGAAGCGAGCTTGTGACCGGAACATTGTTGGTTCAACCCCAGGGACAGGCAGGATGAATCTGCGTGGAGAAAGTGAAAGGTAGGATATGCCCCTGACTACCACTTAGGTGCCCTTGAGCAAGGCTCTCAACTCTAGCCACTCCAGTGTGAATGTGTAACTGCATGAATGTGATCAGGGCGTTCCTGAAAAAGAGAGCATTGATCTCAAACCCCCTGAATAAATAAAAAGATGAAAAGCTGTACACTCAATATGAAGCTAAAGGCAGCAGCCAATTAGTTTGCATAAAGAATGGAAACAAGCTAGCCTGACTCTGTCCAAAGGTAACAAAATCTGCCTACCAGCACCTCTAAAACTCACTGGTTAACACATTATATCTTGTTTGTTTAAGCTTTAAATATTATGCTAGGTAGATTTTGTTACCTTAGAGTCAAGTTAACTGCTTCACCCTGTTTTTGGATTATAAACTAAAGCTAAGCTACGCTAAGCTAAGCTAACTGGCTGCTGGCTGTAGCTTCATACTTAGCATACAAACATTTGAGGGTGGTATCAATTTTCTTATAAAGATCTTGGTAAGAAAGTGAATATGCATAATTCTCAAAATGTTCCTTTAAGCTAAACAAAACAGATATTGGATGTGCCTGATATATTGCATGTATGAAAAAAATGTACTTCTGTACCTGCTGTTGAGTATGCAGTGTCTAGTCTCTCCGTGTGGTCACAGCCGACTCCCACGCTACTCAAGACAGCAACACCATCCTTTCACAGCTCCACATACAACCACATATTGCAAATTTGATGGAGATTTTATGCTCTTTTGGAGCTGTAAAGAGATGGCTCCATTACCTTTAATAGTTTGTGAGAATGATGTGATGGAACTGCAGCACTATTCTGCTGTGTGTTTGTTTTTTACAGTATATAAACTTTAATAGCATTTCACCTGGCAGTTCTTCATGTTGTGATGAACTAGTCCTTTAAAATCACAGTGGTCAAAGGCGGTCAAAGGTCTGTGAAGACATTATTACACAGTTCTTTCATAATAAAGTAAAGTTACCAATAGGTTTTTCTATGACTGACAATATCTGATATATATCAAACTGATGCAGTAGACCATCTATTACTGCAGTATCAGATGTATTTTGCTAAAAATGATAAGCTTCACCTGCTTTGGTCTGGGATTATAAGGTCTTCACATTCTGTCTTGTGCAGACAAGTGTATCAGTGTAAACTGATCCTCAGACCAGTCTCTTCATTCTGGTCAGTGGAAGGGTGAAATGTCACTCCCTGATTTTGTCCTTTCTAACATTTCATGATTTGTCTGCTATCTAAGCAGTTAATTCTTATGTCAGAGGGTGTTTCTCTGTCTCCCAGCCCCATACTTAATCCACTTGCCCATATGATTTTCTGTCTGCCATCGATTAGATTCACACAAGATGAAAAGCTGCCGTTACAGCGGCAGACAACGAGCCAATGACTCACACAGTTTTGGCTGGAAGTTGATTTTAAATTTTTTCTGTGGTTTGATCACGCTGGAGCAGAGATTGGGTGGCTGTTAATTTACTGTGTGTGAGTGTGCATGTGTGTGAGTCTGTTTGTATGTGTGTGCTTGTTGTTTTAACGTCTCTTGGTGCTTTGTTGGCATTTCCTGTAAGCTTGGCTTTAGTCCAAACCAATACCCAGAGGCTCATGCACTCTCTGCTTGTCTCAAACACACACACACACAGACTTTTTGAAGTCCTGGTACTCCATGCAGCTATGACACTGCACTCTTGGTCTCATGTTTCTCACTGCTGACCAAAACACTGAGCATGACTAAGAAATGCTTCTTTAAAGTTTAAATCAGGAACGTTCCATGTTGCTGCTCTGATGACAGAGCGTAATGTGCCAGACCTGGTTAAAAATGCCAGTATAGCAAAACACCTGTCAATATACCTGACACCAGTCTGGGCCTATCAAGAAGATAGCTGTGACCAGAACAGGTGTGACTGTACAACCAAAGTACAAACAGAATCTCGACCCATAAGAAATGGATAAATATGCAATATAGGGATAGTGTATGTCTTGTATATGACACATTCTGGCCTTTAGTTTCACAGTTTGATGGATCTGGATAAAAAGAAATCAAACTCAATATGGGATACTGAACATTAAAGGATCAGAAACAAAAATTGTGATCTGGACATCCGAACTTTTGACAGACCTCTTTGTATTTCAAATTAAATTGATACCAGCCACTTCAGTCTCTGACTTTGGGTCCATTGCCCTGACTGGCCTGTTCAGTTATTCATCAATAACCAGCCCTAACTTTCTTGTTTCGTTACCACTGCCATTGCACATAATGTGTTACACCTCCTCCATGAAACTCTGTGTCTAAAGCCCTGCGTGATGTTTATCAAATGGCCTGAAATCAAGTCTGCCTGCAATCAGAGAAGTGATTTGAATGTCATCACACAAATGTGTCTCTCTAAATTTGCCCTGTCCTGTAAACTGGCATGTAATGTTTTACTTTAGACAGAGGTGGAAGAAGAACAGTGTAGAAATACTCTGTAACAAGTCCTGCATTAAAAAAATGACTTAAAAAGAGTATTAGCACCACATTAAATGTAAATTACCAAAAGTAGAAGTATTAATTATGCAGAGGGGTCCATTTGAGAATAACGCATATAATATCACTGGATTATAATTAGT